TCATTCATCCTGTGTCACAGGAGGCAAGGTATAAGGTGAATACCGATACAGAGCCAGTAGAGATATTAGGGTATATTTATTAGGGAGAGCCTTACTTACAGAGCAACCTAGCCAGCTGGCAGGAAATGATGAGAGCAAGCAAGCCGATGAAGCAGGGAAAAAGAAGGGACTACCATGTGCGCGCCCCTCACTCTTAAACCTCCCTCGGGTCACCCTGACCATGCCCTGGCAGGTGTGGTCGGGCACACCTGTAACCAGCCCCGAGGAGGTGTGGTTATGGTGTCCCCTACAAGACTGCTTGATTTACAGTCTGCCTTCTGTTCCTTTTTTAGTGTTTTAGAAGTTTGCTTTTAGGGCTAGGGATCTAGACTGTTTGGTAGAATGCTTGCTTATCTTGCAGGAAAGCCTAAATACCTTATAAACTGGGTGTATGGATTACACATGTGTAATCCCAGCATTCTGGAGGGAGGGAGCAAGAGGATCAGAAGTTCGGAGTAATCCTTGGGTACATAGCGAGTTCAAGGCCAGCCTGGTCAAAGTGTCAGAAAGCACCTGGGCAAAATAGTCTTGTGGATATGACAGGAATGCTACCCTCATGAACTCACTGCAGCCATGTTTTCCTCTATAGGAACTACACTAAATCAAGTCAGCATGCTAGCATGGAGTCAGGAGAGACAGCTATCCCTAGCACAAGAGCTCTTGACAGTTGATGGCTCTTTGGGCAGGGAAAATCAGTTTCCTCTAAGGGTATGGGCCCTGGTAGGTTGAATATACTGCAGTGGATGGCCTCACCCCATGAGTGTATGAGCAACACAAATTAGACTGGTGGATTTTTTTTTAAAGAGATCTGAAGTTTGTAGGGGAAGTGAGAGTTGGATCTGGGAGGAGGTGAGGGCAGGAGTTGGGCGTGAATATGATCAACTCACATTGTACACAGGTACGAAATTCTCAAAGAATTAACACAAATGTGCTTTCTAAGTTTAATTTTTAAACACTTGGCATATTCTGGAGAGGAAATCATTTTCGTTACTAACTTTGCCATAGTTATTGAACTTGTGCATGTCCTAACTTGTATAATACAAAGAAGAGCTGTATATATTCTCTACCTTAAGACGCCTCACGAGGCAGGTGTGGTGATCACTGGGTAAATTGCTGTCTCACAAGCCAGTCTCTGGACAGCAGAAGGAAAACACCAACTCCTAAAAGGCTTTTCTGACCCCACCCCAAAAATAAATCAGAAGTGTAAAGACACTTTGTAACTTCCTAGCTAAAGTACTGAGTGATGTGTGACTGAGGGAAACTTCAACACATGAGGTAGAAAAAGATTTATTCTGGCATGGGAAGGAAACAGCCAAATCTGGATCTAAATTTATTCTCATTGAAATGATTGTAGTGTTCTTGTCTCTTTCATATGTCAGCATTATTAGTGATTTATGCTCGGAAATTTTCACTGTCAGTTTACAAGGTTGTATAAGCTCAAGGAAAAATAATCTTAAAGTGAACCTAAATAAAAATATGGTCAAATGAGCACAGCTGTGGCAGGATATATGAAGGGCTCTGGACACAGCGCGTCCTTTGCCAGGGCGAGGGCCGAAGGAGAGAGCAGAGATGGTGCAGCGTGGGTCCTTCGAGTTGGGCCTTAAAGAATGAGTACACATTTTCAGGAAAGGGGTGCCTCGTGAGAGCTGGTGATAGACTCAAGATGACTATTTTTATTATGGAAAATTTTAGTTAGCTGATAATAAACTTTGACTGTGGTTATCGTGTTGTTTAGATTTGGTGATGATTACTAAGAGTGAAGTTACATTGCCATCAATGAAATGCCTTTTCTGGCATGACTTCACAGTCCTGATTGTGGCCATCCATTGGTAGAATGAAAATACACAAACCTCTTTGTCAGTTTAAGGTCATGGTTTCTGAGGAAGAGCAGCAGTTCCTGTCTTAACTGTTTTTAGTTATGCGGTGAAAGTGAGGCAATATCAGGATAAGCACTATCCATCAGGCAGTCACAGCTGCAGCACCACCCTGCATCACAGCGAGCAGTGGTTCCCTGCATCACAGTGAGACGTATCACCCTGCATCACAGCATGCAGGCTGCACTGTCCCATGAGCCACTATCTGGCAGGTTCTCGATGGCACTAAGAACAGTCCATCTGAGAAATCAACAGCCATGGGAGGAGACCCACCACCCGTACTATCTCCTAGTGGTAGAGAGTATATTTTGGGGGTTTGTGATTAATTATTCTTTTGTTACACTTTAGCTTGCCAGCTCTGTAACTCCTTGGGATATCTTGCTGAGCTTAATTGCAGCTGCCACTCATGATCTGGATCACCCAGGTGTTAACCAGCCTTTCCTTATTAAAACCAACCATTATTTGGCAACTTTATACAAGGTTAGTACAGTTTCATTGAGAATTAATTTGGTTTTGTTCTTTTTTAGTATGTGCTTAAAAATCCCAGTACTGAGGAGAAAGAGACAAGAAGATCCCTTGAGCTCACTACCTGAGTA